TTACGGTTTTTTAATGAATACAGATTAAACTTCACATTTATAATTTGATTCCTTTTTTTTTTTAAAGTGAAATTAATTATCTATGAAAAAAACTGAATAAAGTTTCAGAAATGGAAAATGGATAAGTTACTTGTAAAGCAACAGTGAGTTAATGGCTTTTAGAGTAAGGAAAACCTGCAGGTTTATATTCTTATTACAATATGAAAGGAAGACTCTATACACTGTTACCTGTAAGGTCTGCGTAAATTAGAGTCAATCAAATAAAACAGCAGCCTGCATAAAGGCATCTTTAGAATACCATAAAATAAGAAATTACGAAAGTGTACTAGATTACCAAAATATTTTTTGTCTGGAATACTAATAGAAAAGCAGGAAAGTCATTATGTTTAAAAGAAGAGACAGCTTTAATTATATGAATCTTCAGGAACTGTCATATCAGTAAGCTCATTAGCTGCAATGAAAGTTCCTCCTGCTGATCTAAGAGTACTTAAAGCCCAGGATTTGTTATACTTCAAAGCAAAAAGGTATCTTTAATTCATGTACTATAACAGTGAATTAAGCCTACTTCTAGTATTACAAAAGTAGAAACTAAAACTTTAGCACAAAGAGAAAAAACCAAATTAAATACCCTGAAGTAAGCTACAGTTGCATAGGTCACATCTCCTACTTGCCTGTCAGTTATATTTAAAAAAAATAAAATTTATTTTTCTAATGCAATAATTAACGTACTTATTGCAAACATTTTATCATTTATAAAATACCATAAAATACATGTTAGCTTCGCAACTAGCAGACCTTGTCACTGGTCTTAAAGTCTTGCAAGCTATGTTAACAGCTTACTGTATGACAATTACTGGACAATATTTAATGAAGTGAAAGGAGCAAGAATTTTTCTTCTAAAAAATATAAAAAGCAAATGAATTGCTAAACGTTGTGATGTTCACTCACTTTGAATTCGAAGAAGAGAATTTTTAAGAATGAGCAAGTACAAAATAATAAAAAAATGTATAAGGAATGCTACAAATAGGTGGGCTGATACAAGGACAGTCGTGTCAAAAAAAGTATTCTAAAAACCATATTTTAAATAACTTGTTCTAAGAAACTTGTAGAACACTCAACGGTCACTTCATGGTGATCAAACCCAAACCAATAAATGCATAGAATAGTTCCATTTCTATGCAGTGTGTTAAACTTAAAGTTTTCTGTTAATGTTGTTCAAATGGCATTTACACTTCTTTATGCTACATTAGTTTTCATTTATAATTTAAAGGGCATTTGCAAATAATACATTTATATCACAGATAAAATGTGAAATTATTGCATTTGCAGAAAGGAATATGCAGACAGGAAATAAAAACAGCCCAATAAAAAAAAAAAGCTTGCAACAAAGATATAGGAGAAAAGAATATTCTTATCAAACTTCATTGATTTATTCTTGGGAATTACTTTTCATAATGACTTCAGAGCATAAAGTTCAGTGAAACTACAAAGGGATTGGCATTCCACCACCTCTACAAGGCCCTAACTTCTGCTAGGACAAAAGGTAGAGAACATGACTTAGAAACAAATATTGGAACAAGATACAACCAATATGGTCCACAGAAAAACTGAACATCATATCAGTATTACACAAAACCAGAAAAGAATAATGTATCTCCTCACCCAATAACTTTGACCAAAGCCGCATAAATTTAAACAGAACCTTCCCATTGGATGACAGGAAAAATCCAGGCTGACTTCCTTCCTTCTATATTCCTTTCAGTCTTCACTGTCGAGGCTGGCCCTCAGGCTCCCCAGTCCTGGCAGGTAAGTGAGCAAGCTTGGAGAAAGGATGACCTTCCCTCTGTCGATGTGGGTCAGGTTAGGGATCTTTTAAGGAAGCTGGACACCCACAAGTCCATGGGCCCCGATGGAATGCACCCGTGAGTGCTGAAGGAACTGGCAGATGACGTTGCTGAGCCACTCTCCATCATCTATGAAAGGTCGTGGAGAACAGGTGAGGTGCCTGATGACTGGAAGATAGCCAATGTCACTCCAGTCTTCAAAAAGGGCAAGAAGGAGGACCCAGGGAACTACAGGCCGGTTAGTCTGACCTCTGTCCCTGGAAAGGTGATGGAACAACTCATTCTGAGTGTCCTCTCCAAGCAAGTGGATGAAAAAAAGATCATCAGGAGTACCCAGCATGGATTCACCAAGGGGAAATCATGCCTGACCAATCTGATAGCCTTCTATGATGGCATGACCGGCTGGGTGAGAGCGGTGGATGTTGTCTACCTTAACTTCAGCAAGGCTTTTGACACTGTTTCCCATAACACCCTCATAGGGAACTCAAGAAGTATGGGTTGGATGAGTGGACAGTGAGGTGGATTGGGAACTGGCTGAATGGCAGGGCTCAGAGGGTTCTGATCGGCGGGGCAGAGTCCAGATGGA